CAACAGCTTCGCGTGCCCGCTGCGCCACCCGCACCGCCAATCCCCCCACCACCACCAGCGGACCCATCCCCGTCAGAGCCCCGTCTACCAGTCCCTGAGCCATATGCAGGTGAACCCAATTACTGTCGTGCGTTCTTAACCAGATGTGGTATGCACTTTTCTCTCCAACCTAGAACCTTTCAGGAGGAGCAGACCAAGGTCGCATTTGTCCTGACGCTTCTGACGGGGAAAGCGGCGTTATGGGGAACGGCGGTGTGGGCTAACCAAGACGACTGCTGTTCCTCGTTCCAGCGACTCTCCGAAGAGATGCGGCGGGTTTTCGACCGGGCCGCGACGGGGAGAGAAGCTGCCAGGGTGATGGCCGAACTACGACAAGGTGAAAGATCTGTATCGGAATTCTCGATCGAATTTCGCACCCTGGCAGCTGAGAGTCAATGGAACGAGGAGGCGCAGTGGGACATGTTCCTGCATGGGCTGGCTGACCGCGTCCAAAAGGAGATTTACGCCATGGAGCTACCTACCGGACTCAATGATCTGATCGCGCTGGCACTAAGAGTGGACAATCGTCTATCACGAGGCACCAGACGGTTTCAACCGGACCGTCCTTCTGGAGGTGCCGAGGGAATGCGTTCGGGAGGCGGGGGCGCGGTCAGCCCCGTCTACGATCACGAGCCCATGCAGGTGGGTCGAGCCCGGCTTTCCCGGGAGGAGAAGGAGAGGCGGAGATCCCTGGGCCTTTGCCTTTACTGCGGTGGAGCTGGACATTTTGCGTACAATTGTCCGTTAAAAGGCCCAGCCCGACAGTAAGTATGAGGCTACTGTCGGGTGGGATCTCTGCCGAGAAGCCCTCATCAACATCTACCTTCCTCCCGGTAAGACTCCGATGGTCAACTCACCTCCACGACTGTCGGGCACTACTGGACTCAGGGGCAGAAGGTAATTTCATGGATCACTCATTTGCACTCAGATATCAAATTCCCCTCAAACCCCTTTCACACCAAATCAACGTTCACGCCCTCAATGGACAAAGACTCCCCACGATTTCACTGATCACCGAAGACCTCACACTCATCACATCCGGCAATCATTCTGAGACTATTTCCTTTTACATTCTGGACACTCCACTAGCACCCATCGTTCTTGGTCACCCATGGCTCATCCGTCACAATCCCAAAATAGACTGGCAGTTCAAATCGGTGGCATCATGGAGCAGTTTTTGTCATAAGTCTTGTCTGGTGTCTGCCTGTCCGTCTGTTCCTGTTCATGTTTTACAGGAGGAGACAGTGGATTTATCAAACGTGCCCACGGAGTATCGGGATCTGAAGGAGGTGTTCAGTAAGTCTCGGGCTGATTCTCTTCCTCCGCATCGTCCCTATGACTGTGCTATAGACTTACTGCCAGGTACGTCTCCGCCTAAGGGCAAATTATATTCACTCTCTGTCCCAGAGAGAGAGGTCATGGAGAAATACATTTCTGATTCTCTAGCAACGGGATTCATCCGACCTTCCTCTTCTCCAGCGGGGGCGGGGTTTTTTTTTGTGGGGAAGAAGGATGGATCGTTGCGACCTTGTATTGATTACCGGGGGTTGAACAACATCACGGTAAAGAATACTTATCCTTTGCCGTTGATGTCTTCAGCTTTCGAGAGGTTGCAAGGAGCATCTATTTTCACAAAACTGGATTTAAGGAATGCTTATCATTTGGTCCGCATCAGGGAGGGGGATGAATGGAAGACCGCCTTTAACACCCCTAGGGGGCACTTTGAATATTTGGTTATGCCGTTCGGCCTTTCCAACTCCCCAGCGGTCTTCCAAGCACTTGTCAATGACGTGTTGCGAGACATGATCGACCAGTTCATATATGTCTACCTGGATGACATATTGATTTTTTCTTCGTCTCTCCAGGAACACGTGCAACACGTCCGACAAGTGCTTCAGAGGTTGTTAGAGAATGGGCTTTTTGTCAAGGCGGAGAAATGCGTTTTTCATGCACAGTCTGTTCCTTTTCTAGGTCACATCATCTCGGTTGAGGGAATGCGCATGGATCCTGACAAGGTTAAGGCTGTGGTGAATTGGCCAAGTCCAGATTCCCGTAAGGCCCTACTAAGATTCCTGGGGTTCGCCAATTTTTACCGGCGTTTTATTCGCAACTTCAGCCGACTAGCCGCGCCTCTGACCGCCTTGACCTCCCCCAGAACGACGTTCAGGTGGTCAGACGCAGCTGAAGCTGCGTTTGCTAAACTCAAGGGTTGCTTCGTTTCAGCCCCCATCCTGATAACCCCTGATCCATCACGTCAGTTCGTGGTGGAGGTCGATGCGTCAGAGGTGGGGGTAGGTGCAGTGTTATCCCAGCGTTCTCCTTCAGACGACAAGATGCACCCTTGCGCGTTTTTTTCGCATCGTTTATCCCCTGCCGAAAGCAATTATGACATTGGCAACAGAGAGTTGTTGGCGGTCAAGTTAGCTTTGGAGGAGTGGCGCCACTGGTTAGAAGGGTCAGGGGTACCTTTTATCGTCTGGACCGACCACAAGAATCTGGAATACATTCGTACTGCTAAAAGACTTAATTCCAGGCAGGCTCGGTGGGCTCTTTTTTTCGGACGTTTTGACTTTACTCTCTCGTACCGCCCGGGTTCCAAAAACATCAAACCCGATTCTTTATCACGGATTTTTGACCGTTCCGATCGCCCGTCTACTCCCGAGTGCATTTTACCAGAGAGTCTATTCATCTCTACACTCACATGGGAGGTCGAATCGAAGGTCAAGAAGGCCTTAGAAGGGGTAACGCCTCCGACTCGTTGCCCACCGAACCGTTTGTTTGTGCCGGAGAGTTTACGGTCCAGCGTCATTCAGTGGGGTCATTGTTCCAATGTGGCTTGTCATCCAGGAGTCAATCGTACTATGTTTTTGTTTAAGCAACGATTCTGGTGGCCGCTTATGGCTCATGACGTTCGCAGTTTTGTATTGGCTTGCTCAGTTTGTGCCACGGGTAAGACTTCCAATCAACCTCCAGATGGGTTACTCCAACCGCTGCCGGTGCCTTCGAGACCCTGGTCCCATATCGCACTAGATTTTATCACCGCCCTCCCACCCTCCCAGGGTCACACGGTAGTTTTGACTGTGGTGGACCGGTTCTCGAAGGCGGCCCATTTCATTCCCTTGCCCAAATTACCTTCAGCCAAGGAGACAGCGTTGGTTGTCATTGACCACGTCTTTCGGCTTCATGGCCTCCCGACAGACGTGGTTTCTGACAGAGGACCCCAATTTGTGTCCAAATTTTGGCGAGAGTTTTGTAGACTTCTGGGGGCGACTGTCAGTCTGTCCTCTGGGTTCCATCCCCAGAGCAATGGCCAAACTGAGCGAGCCAACCAAGATTTGGAAAGAACGTTGCGATGTTTAGTGTCCAAGAATCCTTCCTCCTGGAGTCAGCAATTGTCTATGGTGGAGTACGCCCACAACACGTTGCCAGTGTCATCCACGGGCCTATCACCATTTGAGTGTAGCGTAGGTTACCAGCCACCAATTTTTCCTAGTCTGGAATCTGAAGTCGCGGTCCCCTCCGCCCACGCCTTCGTCCAGAGGTGTCACCGCACTTGGACTAGAGCCCGCGAGACTCTACTCCAAGTGGGGGCACGCACCAAGGCCAAAGCCGATCGCCACCGGCGGAGGCCTCCCGTATACGTCGTCGGTTCCAAAGTGTGGCTTTCTACCAAGGACATTCCTCTCCGCTCCGTTTCGAATAAACTCGCACCAAAATTCATTGGCCCATTCTCTGTCACTAAAATCATTAGTCCAGTGACAGTCCGCCTCAACCTTCCTCCAGTGTACAGGAGGATTCATCCCGTATTTCATGTTTCCAAAATTAAGCCCGTATTTTTTGCTCGCATTAACCCGCCAGTCCCGGTTCCCCCCCCGCCGCGTCTCGTAGACGGGGAACCTACTTATTCGGTCAATCGTGTTCTGGACTCGAGACGGAGGGGACGCGGATTCCAGTACTTGGTGGACTGGGAAGGTTACGGTCCGGAGGAGAGAAGTTGGGTACCGGCTAGAGACATCCTGGATCACTCCCTTATCGATGATTACAATCGGCAGGTAAGGGAGTCTGGGAACGCCAGGAGGCGTTCCTAGGGAAGGGGGTACTGTCACGGTTGGTAAATCCTATGTTTTCTTCTTGTCTCGTGTTTCTGTTGTTATATGTCAGCGCGCTGATTAGATGGGCGTGCCGCTCGTCAGCGTTCATCATCAATCAGCTCATTATCCCTTCACCAGCTGCAGCTTGTCAGATCATGTGTATTTATACTCACCACTTTCTCATCTTCCCTGTCAGATCGTTGTATGTGGTTTCCCCGGTGTGTGTGTTCCTGTCGCGTTCCAGTCTCTTGCCTTCCTTGTTCCGGTTTCTTGTTCTGTGGATTTTCTGGACTATATCGCTCACTGGACACCTCTCACCGCACCTCCACTTCACCTACCATCTGACCATCGGAGTTCCTGCGCCACCTGCCTGTTTGCCTGTGTTTGGACTGTCTCTCATTGTTACTACTAAAATAAAAGAGTTTAACTGCACTTGCTTCCGTCAGTCTGTCGTGACAATTGTATTTATATAAAACGTTTACAGGCAAATTGTCTTCATTTATTTCCCCGGCGTCGAAATCAGGCACATATAAATGTCAGGAAACACGATTCCTGGCTGCATGTCAATATCCATGGATCACTGGATCTTTGATAAGTTGTAAGGAACACTATATCGAGTCCAACTTTTAGTTTAAACTGATAATAGTTTGTTTTACTCGCGTTAACGCAGTTTCCCCTATTAACTCCAGTCACGCAGCAGCTCTTCTGCCACTCAGTCCCGCTGAGGGGGGCGTGTTCCGGCGGGGAAGTGACGTTAATGCATTCCCTCTATTTGGAGCCGGAGACGTTGTGAATTTGCTTGGCCTCTGCCCAACTCGGTGGTGCGTCCGAGTTGCGTCACTGTCACGTTTGCTGGCCTGCTACGGAGAGATGATACAGACTTTCGGAACCTTGGAGAGTGACAAGGCGGTGAAAGGGGACACCCGTGCCAAAATTGCAGGATTGCTAACAAAGGCCACAAATATGCGCACAGTGTTTGGCTTGTTTGCCCGCGTAACCCTATTTACCCCATGTGAAGCAGTGGCACGATCACTTCTAGGAACCAAAGTCACAGCTCTAGGATCCATGGAAGCTGGCAAACTCCTTTGCAAACAACTGGGCACACTGCGACAGGATGAAACCATCACTGACCTTGTGGCCAAGACCAAGCAATATGCAGAGCGTTACGGCCTGAAGCCGCCACATCCAGTGCGCAGCAGCAAGACACCTGCACGCTTTCGCTATACACAAGTGGAGGACGCCAATGACCAAGAGTGCAGCGAAGTGGAGGGTAAATGTTTGTAATAAAAAATACACAATTGGTCTTTTCAGTTGTAGTAGGCTAAGGTTATTTATGTTATATATATTTCTGTATTCAGTGTATCCGAACGTGTGGAAAAGGGAGATGTTTGAGGCGCTGGACCTGGTGCGCTCAGAAGTGGAGAGGCGTTTTGACCAGGTCGGAATCCAAGTTGCTGCAGGGCGAGAGCAGGCGATCATTGAGGCAGCTCAAGGAAAAAAAGTGAAAGTGACTTCCCTGAAACTCACCGGTTTTACAAGAGAGCGACTAAGTCATGAGTTGGACATACTGTGGGATATCTGTACAGGGCGTGAAGTTAACACAATTCGGGATGTTGTGTCCATTCTCCAAACCATGCAACCACAAACCCGTTCCATGCTGTCAGAGGTGGAAAAGCTCATCAAACTATGCCTGTGCCTGCCCAGATCTGTCGCTGCATCAGAGCGCTTCTTCTCGGCTTTGCGCAGGTTGAAAACCTGGCTGCGTAACACCATGTCACAGGAGAGACTAACGCACTTGGCCATCATGAATGCCCACAGTGATCTCCTGAATGAAATCGATGTCTCGACTCTGATAAAATTTTTTATAAGTCGAACAACTGAAAGAAGATCCACCTTTGGAAATGCATGAATTATTTTTTTCTTTTTGAGTAGCGCTAGCGTATGTGTCTAGCATGTTCATAGCTTTAAATGTTTTGACTGTCAATGCTATATCAATAGGGCCATTATATTTGTTCATTTTATGAATTTTCATGTTCCAAACAATATGAAATGTTGTGAAAATAAAACACAGCTCTCCCTCGTTCATTTCAGGGGTTCTATTTAATTACCATTTGTGCATTTTCATTCATTGCGCCTTGACACCGGTTCAAAACTGAGTCCCAAAAGTCCGCGTAAGAAGCATAACTACGTTCACACCGCCGCCGACTTGAGCTGCAAAGAAGCTCTGGCCCTGTCGAGGACGCTTGTCTAAGAGTACGGGGGAGCTTGTTGACGCTTTGGCCGCTCTGGCGTAGCAGCATTATGTTCGAGAGAAGAGAAGTGTCACAACGTGAAATGTAAACAGAAAAACAAGCAATATCCTACATTGACACTAGAAACCTTTTATAATTACAGCATTTTTATATTGCCTATTCCGCATCTCAACGCACGCATAAAGATTGCCTCAAAGAACCGGCCAAAGTAAGGATTATGCATTAAACTTTTAAATTGTTTATTAATAGTGTTTTCTGTCAGTTTTCGGTTAATTTATGAGACGCGCTCCAGTTCACGCGCTGGCGCCTCCGTGTCCTAATTCTATTGCCTACTATATTTGCTTCTTATTTATTAATCCAGTCAATTTGTTGATGAAAACATTGATTAAAATGAAGATACAATTTGTACAAAACGAAATTCAGTTAAAACAAAACAATAAGTGGTCAGAAAGAATTATGTCTGACCCATTCCAAATGTTTTCCGATATATGGTGACTCGAGCACTGATGGAACACAGAGCGCGCATTTCGACATTTCGACACACTGAGCTGTGCATAACGCCCACAGACGGGAAGTGAACGAGACAGATGCTGACCGGTACTGTCTGAAATGGTTAACTCTGTGGCGATGCATGTGCAAAACAGATTTAACTAATCATAAAGTCAATCAGGATACATAACAGAGCCTAGGCCTACACTAAAAAAATCCCCCCGCCCCCCCTCTCACAATATAGTTCCCACGTCCCTGCATCATAAGTTCAAACTGGTTGCAACCTAAACCACGAAGGGATTACCACTGGATTCTGTTTATCTTTAAATGCGTTTATTCCAATTGCCCTGCATACCTTAAACAGCACTTAATACCTTATTGCTCAACATACTCACTTAGACACCTCCAATGTCCAACTTTTTTTACGATACCAATGTTGTTTTCTGTAGCTGGTAGGAGAGCATTTCAATATAAGGCCCCTCAAGACTGGAATAACCTTCCTCTTTTCTTGAGGTCTATTTCCACGTTTGGTTTATTCAAATCGTCACTTTTTTCTTTTATTAAAACTACATGTTCTTGTAATTAGGGAAACTAATGGTATGACATATAAATGATTTATGTAGAAAACATATAGTATGTATACAATTATGATTTTTTGTGTGTGTTATTTTCTTTATCTTGATTTTCTTTGGACATTTCTATGTGAGATGTGACGTGATAATAATAATAATAATAATTATTATTATTTGTCAATATACGGTACTTTAATATGTGTGCTATGTTAATTGTGGGGCTAAGGGCAGGTGAGCGAGCGAGTTACTGTTTTGTATAAATGTCTGTGTTTGTATTGTGTTTATGTTTTTGTATGTACTGTGTGGTTAACCTTTGTGTCTATATATGTACGCTGCAGGACCCCCTTGAAAATGAGATGATACATCTCAAGGGGTTATCCTGAAATAAGTTCAAAACTCAGATCATTTATTGGATACTTGAACAAATAATCTATGTAAAAATAAAGAGCAATAAATCAAACACAATCAAATAAAGTGTCTTTTTTGACAATATTTGTGTTTTTCATTGTTCTTTAGTGCTTGATTCAAGGTTTTAATTTATAGCATTATACCTGAGAAAGTTTTAATGGAAGTTTTGGAAAATGGAAGTTAAAATTTAACCTGAAGAAATCCTGATGTTGTTTGGACCAAAGGTGATCATAAACTCCTCCCTCTTACAACACTTACCAGGAGAACAGGAGCCGGAAAAGAAGGGAGATGATCAGAATAACATTATTGGTATGGACAAGAAGCGATTTCTAGGATTTATTGCTATGGTGGTCAATTGTGCTGTGGAAAATAAAGGGAAATTAGAGAGGATCAAGATGGTGTTGGATGCGGCGAGAAGATTCTTGGACATTATGGACATATCAGGAGAAGAACTAGATAATACGCTGAGGAAATAATTTATATCATCTCAGACCATTGAGTATGACATATAGAACGGGCAGTGAACTTTTAGGGTGGTCACTGGAAATATACTGCACTGGGAAAACTATTTAATTCAGTAGGTGGCGGTAATGCAACACTTTGGATGCCAACCGCCATAAAACCCCAAAGAAGAAGAAAAAGAAGAACACTTACCAGGAAGAGACTGAGTTATTTCTCTTTTCTGTCATGCTGACTCTCTTCTCTCTCGACAAAGGCAATAAAGAAGCAGCGATCAGTGGAGATCAAGAAGGATTTTTGAGACATTTGTTCCTGAACAGAGAGCAGATCGTTGTGATTCTCAAGGAGATTCGTTTTTAAACCCGTTGTTCAGAAAGTGAAATTAACGTATATGTTGGAGCTCAAACGGTGAAAATGGCTTCACTAAATGTTTCTGCAGAAGAGCTTTCTTGTCCCGTGTGCTGTGACATCTTCAAGGCTCCTGTTCTTTTATCATGTAGTCACAGTGTCTGTAAAGAGTGTCTTCAACAGTTCTGGAGAACCAAGAAAACTCAGGAGTGTCCTGTCTGCAGGAGAAGATCCTCAAAAGAAGAACCTCCATATAATCTGGCGTTAAAAAACTTGTGCGAGTCAATCCAGACGGAGAGAAATGAGACGTGTTCATCAGGATCTGAGGAGATCTGCAGTTTACACAGTGAGAAACTCAAACTCTTCTGTCTGGAGGACAAACAGTCTGTGTGTTTAGTGTGTATTACTTCACAACAACACGACAATCATAAATTCAGACCCATCAGTGAAGTGGTTTCATCATATAAGGTAAGTATATCTCTTGTTTTACATGTAAACTGAAAGTGATATGAAGAGAGTAGCACACACACACACTCACACACACACACACACACACACACACACACACACACACTCACTCACTCACACAGACACCCGCACACACAGGGCCCCATCACACACCCGGAGCAATGCAGCGCTAGGCGCGATCAAGTGTGTTTTGCTAGTTTTGCCCAACGCAGTTTTGCGATAAAGTGAATAAAATAGCATTGACTTACAGGAGTTCCACAACTACTGAAAAACGTTGTTCTCTCCCTCCGTACTGTGTGTGTGTCGGTGGTGAGGTAAAAGGGGAGCAGGCAGTGGACCAAAGCACTGTGGGGCAAGGGATGGGGGACTCAAAATGTTTAAAACGTTTGCATTTTTATTTTTTTACTTACTTGCACAACTATATTAAGTATATATCATTATAATATTTATAATACACATATTTTATTGATATTTTAGGAGGAGGAGGAGGGGGGGTGGGTGTGGGGAAGGGGCTCCATTACTTTGTATCTTATGTTAAGGCCCCGTAGAAGCCGTTTTTGTAAAAATAGGCTAACGATTGCGTGCGTCATAACCACGGGACTCTGTCGCACAGTAGAGAAATTACAGTGTTAATTTCGTTGACGAAAATAACGACGAAAATTATTCGTCAACGACATTTTTTCACAGACGAAAACGAGACGATAACTAAATAAAACCTAGTTTTGAATGACAAAGACTATGACGAAAATCTATTGACATTTTCGTCAACGAATAAAAACTAGACGAAAATGTTAGATAGTGAGGATTTGGGAAGCGATCCGTCAGAACTGATGTCCTGAGCGTGTGTGATAGATGCGCACATTTGTAGGCTACTGATCTACCCCGCGGTCATAAAACGTTAAAAAATGTGAACGTCTGGGAGAATGAGTAGAGCAGACATATAGATCTGAATAAGAGTGACGATGCAAAAAAGAGTTCTATTCGGTGCGGTTTTCTGTGCGCACACACCTAACCCGAAGCGTGCAGTCATGCACAATACACCTACAGCGCGCGATCTTAGGCTACTGAATTGAGCTCTATTTCGTGTCTGAATGGACAAATACACACAACAGTCTGTCTAAATGTCCTTTTTAGAGAGTATTCATGTAAACTATGCTGGTTATGTCTTAAACTGTGAGTGTATCGGATGTGCATCAGTGCAATTGTATCCGCATGTCATTGGACATGATCCGACGTCTTAAAGTGACAGTGGCAATAAACATAATGCGGTCCGTGTCCTTAATTTTGATCAAGCAACAAAAGAAAAAGAGAAAAGCATTCACTGTTTGTTAATAGCTTTAATAAGGATTAATTATATTGAATTCATACAAATAAATATGTCTGCTTGAAAGAATAAAGAATGATGTATGCAAGTAGTTATAAGGAATGCATATATCATTCATTGTAAAGAAGACTGTGTTGTACTTTAGGAAAAGTGGTTTTATTTAATTTTAAGATATTTTTTAAGTAACAGCAGTTAAATCTGTATCTGTATTGCATGTTCAAACTTAAAAATCATTCATATTAATAGGTTAATAGATGTTTTCTCCGGGAGTAAATGGGTTTGGAAATTTTAGAGAAATTCTAAATTAACGCATTACAATTGAACTAAACCCATTATATTTTAGTCGACTAAATCTACTGTAGATTTAGTCGACTAAAATGTTATTGTATTTCGTCGACTAAAACTAGACTAAAACTAAAACAATTCAGATGACTAAAATATGACTAAAACTAAATGCCATTTTAGTCAAAAGACTAAGACTAAAACTAAATCAAAATTTGCTGACAAAATTAACACTGAATTACCGTATCACAGGAGGAGAAGCTCGTAGGTAGTGATGGGGACGAGACCGCCTATGCCGAGTCCGAGT